CAGTCACAGCATAGTGTATGATTTGAAAGTGTCGTCTGCTAGTTCTCAGAATTTATATATATCCACCCCTCCACTGAAATTTGTTCCACTGATATTGCTACCTGTGAAAATACATCCAGGTCTCAACACGTTCACAGGTGTAATAGTATCTGCCAAAAATTATGTCGATTCTCTAAAGGAGAAATAGCAGCATAATGTGTTACAGTGATCAGACAGATGGCACTTTCATCAATAAGGAATGTATCTTGTCATAGCTCAACTGTCTGTGGCGGCTTGAACAATATCACAAGTTACAGTGTAATGGAAATCCACAGATGCACAGCATAAATACCAAAGTAATATAATCTGTCCCTTTACGGAATCCTCAATATACGTTATCCATCCTCGCGAAAACTCACATGTATTTTCCAGTCTTTAGAGAGTTGTATTGGTTGTTATTGATTTCTCCACATCAGTACACATTCACATTTCCATGCCACTGTTGGGTCAGGATTGGAAAACAAGTTAGCCAGAATAGCCGAGCTCTTAATAATCCAAAACCGTACATGTAGAATGATCATATCCTGTGAATTACGGCTGATAAATCATACCTTCATATTTAACCTTGATGCTTTATCGGCTTTAAAATCTGAGAATATGATAGCGTATCTGATACAGGGCCTGCCACCGTTTAGTATCTTTGTTCACGAAAGATCTGGCCAGTATCAAAAAACCTTCAAAAGGCTCACGCCATAATAGGCTTACCAGACACCAGTAAAGGAATGCATCCATACTTACATCCCATAATAATCACCCGTTTACTCCTCAAAGCTACCTCCCTAACAGTAACAGAAAACAGCTTTTATTAAGAAAACAACAGCAGCATAACAATAAGAATGCATGTGTACTGCATCAATAAATCCACTGTGCATACAACACGGTGTTTATCCTTGTTACCTCGTTTGATGGTGGTGTATTTCCTGTTCATAATAAATTGGTCATAGATCCAGAACTTTTGAGGCAAACAAACCTTGTTCTGCCATCAGGACTCCCGACTGAAACCAGACCCCCTGGTTATGATAAAGTAAACTTACTAATTAGACCTAGACATTAATTACCTTCACCTGTAGGTGTGTGTTTACATGGACCTGTGGGGGGATGAGTCAATTATTATGTAAATATGAAGAGATTTCAAAATTCAGAATTGTAGAATTTCCCATTAAACCTATACATGACAGACTTTAATGGTGCTTAACTAGTCTTTTATCAGTAGTACCATGTATATATCACATTATGATCACTGTATAGGTGGTTTCCAGAGTCAACCAAATTTCACAAATGAGTCTCCATGACAACATCCATTTTGCAATGACATTATAAGACGGTTCAGCAACAGATAACAGCAGTAAACGATCCCTATAAGAACACAATAAACAAGCTTTTAAGATTTCCCCCAGGATTCCTGAAATGTCCCCCATCATTGATTGTTTCGTCTTAATAAAAGAGATCTGACTCTCAGTGAAAAACTGAATCTGAGAATTACTGGCGCCATTAAGGAAAGTAGGTCGATTGTGTGAAGAGATGCTGGGTAACAAATCTATCAAGGGGAAGTAACCCATGGGAATATGCACTTCTCCCTGGTCCTGTTCCCCTTAACATTTATCAGGCACTATGTGTAACCTTCTAACCAGAGATAACCCAGTCTAGGTATACCACTACTGTAAGTATATATATTCTCAGTGCTTTCTGTTGTGTGAAAACTGATTAAAGTTGGAGGAGAAAGGATGTTTGGCATGCAGTGAATATCCAATCTACCTCCCAATCTATGTCAGAGAATGATAGATCAGCACCTCAGGGTCCAGTGTGTACTCACCAAGGTACTGCAAGCTGTTTACTTGCCAATGTACTGTTAAGCATATACCGTAATTATCCTGAAGAGCAATACCAAGCTAAATACTGTTAATGAATTTAAACCCAGTTTATACATCTACAACCAAAAGGGCCTTGATAGAAAGGGCACAATTGATCAAAGTTGACTTGAAAACCGCAAATATAAACAGAAAGAGAAAACAATAGACTTGATTATCATCAAGATAAACTTGAAAACAGTAGACTTTATTATCATCAAGGTAAACTTAGAAAGCAAAGATTCCTAAACATTTTGATACTGAATTGTCATGCTCAATCATGAGTTAAGTCATATTTTAGTTGTTTTTCATAAACTTTGTGAAAAGAAATATGTCTTTTAAACTGTAATTTTTTTTTAATTCCATTTGTATATTAGCATTTCAATTCCCAAGATAGGCTATCATATACTAAGATAAATCTAATAATTACAGTTTTTTGTGTACAGACACAAACTCAACAGACCTACATTTATTACACCTGTATGAATGTCCAAGGTTAACAAATTTCTACCTGTGACTGTATATATACCCGGAGGTAAGAGATAGCTGTTACAGGTAACAGATGGTTATACCTTACAGGCTGACCAGGTGTATTGCTTTGGTATGAAATATAGATGGCATTAGTAACACCGTGTATGGTGCGGCAGCGCAATGTCAGCATCACCGAGGGCAATACTGTAAAGCTTGTCAGCATCACCGAGGGCAATACTGTAAAGCTCATCAGCATCACCGTGGGCAATAATGTAAAGCTCGTCAGCATCACAGAGGGCAATACTGTAAAGCTCGTCAGCATCACCGAGGGCAACACTGTAAAGCTCGTCAGCATCACCGTGGGCAATACTGTAAAGCTCGTCAGCATCACCGAGGGCAATACTGTAAAGCTCGTCAGCATCACCGAGGGCAATACTGTAAAGCTCGTCAGCATCACCGAGGGCAATACTGTAAAGCTCGTCAGCATCACCGAGGGCAATACTGTAAAGCTCGTCAGCATCACCGAGGGCAATACTGTAAAGCTCGTCAGCATCACCGAGGGCAATACTGTAAAGCTCGTCAGCATCACCGAGGGCAATACTGTAAAGCTCGTCAGCATCACCGAGGGCAATACTGTAAAGCTCGTCAGCATCACCGAGGGCAATACTGTAAAGCTCGTCAGCATCACCGAGGGCAATACTGTAAAGCTCGTCAGCATCACCGAGGGCAATACTGTAAAGCTCGTCAGCATCACCGAGGGCAATACTGTAAAGCTCGTCAGCATCACCGAGGGCAATACTATAAAGCTCTTCAACTTCTTGGGTCTACAATGCTTGTTGGTTTAACTAAACAAGGCAAATGCAGGATCCTTTTTTACCAGATTTCCATAACGTAACCTTTAGATTTTTTTATATGCAATCTGTCCTTGTTACTGTTCCATGACTTAAATGAAACAGACTATAACTGATGCATGATGTAGATCAAAGAGGAACAGTTTTTGGTGTGTCGTAATGATTTGTGGTCAATAATCGTTATGTACTTTTGATATCTCTTTTTGTAATTGTTTGGTGCACTCAGTTGTAATGTATTTCTGTTACTTTTCATAGTTTTCCTTTTTTTCGCTGAAAATCTGTTACCATGACTATCAATGATTTTAAGATCCAGATGAATATAAGGCCCTTTACAGTCTGTCAGGATAACAAGGCAATCAGTTGATTTATACAGCAATAAATAGCCAAAAGGATTCTTTTTTTTCTTTTCCTGCCCTTGTGTACCTAATTTATAAAGAATAACAAAAAGAATAACTTAGAATCAAAATTCAATTCTCAAAGGAATTTGAGTTTTTCTGTTGACGTCTCCTAATGGTGTCGCTAGTTTGACTTATCGTGGAGTGAAAACCAATGCCGATACTTATCACTCATTTAAAATTGAGCTTTGATGGACAGACCCCAATGTACATGTTGCTGGGGCCAGAACAAGACTTCCTGCGGTTTCTGTGTAGGGGGGACGATGGTGCTGTCATAACTGTGACTGTGTTGCTGCTATAATATCACTGAGGAGATGGTGATCTGAGATTCCTGCAACATACCACCCCCATGAATGTCATCTGCCATTACACGTCGCCCCCCACCGGGGAAATGGCATACCTATACCCCTGTACACATCACAACCTGTGCACGCTTGTTCCCCAACAAGCCAAGAAATTTGCTAAATATCTGTGCCAGGTTTGGATGACCAATTTCACAAAAAAATTGAAGAAACTGAGAAATTGGAATGTACAAGATAAATTTTAACTCTTACATACATTCAATTCTTTAAAAAGATACAATATTCATATGATCGTTCCATACCAAGGACAGATTCAAAATACCAACATACTAATGAAACTTTTGATTTTCAATGGCTCCAAAAGTCCAGATCAAGATATTTTTCTGAACATTTTGGCTGCTTTAAAGATTAATTTCAAGTAAAAAACCTGAAACCTCAATTCTTCAAAAATGTTGACAATAAACGAATCTAGAAAGGTTTGTAACCTTTCAATGGTTAAAGGTGAACAAAAATTCCACACTTGAGTGTCACTGAAATTACAAAACGTTACCGCCCTAGCTCCACCCTAACTCCACTATACATCTAGAGCATTACAAAACGTTTCCGCCCTAACTCACTATACATCAATAGCTACCATGTCTGCAGTGACGGGGAGAAGATAAGTGGATTCAGCAAGCTATATATCCTTCATAAAAAGAACATGAAAGTTCTGTCAAGTTCATTTTATCAGTAAAACTGATACAAACCTTATACCTCCAATATCCACTAATTCAAACATAATACTATCCATTGATATGCACGTTCCCTGATTAATTCCATACATATTGCCTTAAAACGATCTGCCTTTGTTTCATGAACAGCCTTTGTAATAAAAGCAAATTGACGATAATTTGCCAGAGGTATGTCATAAAAATTCCTCTACCTGCAAACAAGCTTGCTTCAACACTCTGCACATTTAATACGCAACATCCTTCAGCAGCTTCGCAGTTTGCAATCCAGACACTTAATAGTTCCATTTTCCTTTGAATCAGACATAATTTGGCTTTGTATCACCATTGGTTGATAATTTGAATAAAATAGTTGGTTTAGACTTACCGTTTTTGGTCGTGGTCGTTTCCTGTGTCTTGGTCTTCACAGTCTTGTTGTCCTTTTGTTCCGTCACTACCTCCTGTTTGAATTTAGAAGAAACTGATAATTTACTAACAGGTTTTAAACCAGCACGAAAAGACATTTTGGCACAGACAAATGATAAATCACAATTCTCACACTGTGAAACCTTGGAAAGTTCCTGCACAATATTACACTTCACGTGGAGTTATCCAGGTTCTGTAGAACACTATTTATTGTCTTAATCCTTTTTTGTAGTATTTGGAAATATTTCACAAGTTTAAACACAAACTTTATCCGCTTTCTAACAAATTTATCCAAGGTATGATGATCCTTGCTCAATTCAAGGAGTTAGCAGACGACACATAGAACATGGAATTCTGGGAGTTCTACAGCCACCATCGAAAAACCAGGAAACCAAGTGGAGGAAACAACAGGAAAAAAGTTAACTGGTATGGCACACGAAAAGAGTAGTATTCTAATTCCTAGCTGTGATGAGTTGCTACCTACACAAACATTGGGGAGGGCTCATTTGGGGTAGAGCCAGGGACAGCTAACAACCTGGTATGTCAATAGTATAGCAAGTAGTCTAGGTAGGCCAGGGAGAGCCAACAGTAGGCTATATCAGCGATACCATATACACTGTGGTCACAATGATTTGATTAACGAAGAATTGTTCCCTACTTTATCTTTCATTTACCGACTAATCACAGGTGGGTTTTGCTAAATATTTAATTTACTGCTTTTGGACTTCTGTTTTCCCTATAGACTTGGAAAGGCATCCATAATTAGTGATGTACTAGAGAGATACAAAAAGTACTTATTTGTGTATATTTTTGTCTGATTCAAAGGAAAATATTTGAAGAAATTGTTTTCTCAATAATTCTGACAAAGATCTCCCTTTTGGAACCTCAATTTGAAGCCCACAACAACCTAACCAATCAGACTATGCATTGGGTTACTAAGGTGAGTACCTCTCTACATCAAGGAGCCAAAACCTGCCTCTGTATCAATCTAAGGGGAAACACAGGTAGTGACAGTGCACGTGTGCCTCAACACAAACCCTCTATCATCTGAGAACCTGTTCGTTAGTATCCCCTCCTTATAATACTGGAGATACCAGTGCCCACTATACACGTTTTAACTACCGGTAATGATGATGGTAATAAGAATTCTAGATACTCTGTTTTTAATAATTAAGAAGTCAATAGAACCAAGCAGTGAAATCTTATATTCATCAAACACCTTTATAGCCAAATCTTTTCTGGTTTAAATTTTCAAAATACCAAACAAATGTAGCTTTCGTGTACTATACAAGTCTCCCTCCTGGTTTATATAACATCAAGTTCCTTTATCTAGATAACGATAAGGTTTGGCCATAGAGCCTAACCTGTATCTTACAGGCTAGATCTAATAGATTCACCCCCTGGATAATGATCTGTATAAAACTCTTCAATGATGAAAGGATAACAGATATATCCAGATCAGTTACATAGATTCCCAATTTATTGCTCTGTAACGTTTTAGCAGCAGGTATCTATATAAGCCCTTTTATGTCGAGGAAATTTCTATCAAGACAGTTTTTTTGGTTCTGGCTGTACGATTATCAAGTAATAACATTTCTCAGTGTACTGCCAGAATTGCTGTATTATAAAGGAGACGGATCTGATTCAATTAGAACCAGATCTATAAATAGAACACTGCATAACTGTTAACAGTGTACATCTGTGTTGAATGGTAAATTATACAATGACATGAAATTGACATATAGTCGTGGAATTTAAATTGCTAATAACGATAAAGTGTCTGTGATGTTGTCTATAACACTTTCAGATTTGACTCAAGTTTTATCCATATTTAGGCTGATGGTAATTTGAAACCACCATCAAATTGTCTCCCCTTAACACCTACACTTTGGCCTGCTATGGTTGTCTACCCTTTTATTTGCTTACTAGATCGCTTTATGATGAACATTAATCTGTTTTGTTATACAACATGTTTGTGTATTTTGTATGACTTCTTCAATAGTTAAATTTCATCATTAATTGCCAAGATGATTTATCCAAATATTTTTTTTAGGTGTGGCGAATGAACTCTGCCAAAACCCTGTTGGCCTCCCCAAGTTTGACATCCTCCCTGTACTTGTGTATGTAGCCTGTCAGACTAACAGCATGACTCCAGACAATGGTAGGTAGAGGTTCAGTACTAGGAGTACCTAAAGTACTCGGTACTTGTAGCGACCGACATTTACAGACTAACTTCCTTCCCCTTCGTGTTTGAGCAACAACAGCAGCCAGCAGGTTTGTTTCTATGTACATGTACTTAATGTTGTAATCTAAATGTAGATCTATACATATGTAGCTAAGAATTTCCAGTTGTGAATTCGTTCTGTTGTTTGTTTATAATAGCTATTCATGTGTATCTTGTTATTAAGAATACTGCCCATTCTTTACATACATGGATTTATATCCATTGTCTGAAGATTAGTTTTCTTTTCCTTGATACTTCATTAGAAAATGTTTTTTTACAGCAGTTTTCTGCAGAACTTTTAACTTTAAATTGTTGTCAAATTAACATATATTTTTTTATTTTAGAAATGACCAGAAATTGTACTTTTTAGTCTAAAATAATTCAATCTAATGCCAACTAATGAAACAATCACTCTACTGCTGAATTAACAGAATTGTTACTAAACTTATATTGGTGTTTGACTGTTTATCATTTTAAAGCAAAGACATCTGTTACATCTATCTGACAGATTTAAACTGAGGTATAGCAGTTAATAGGTTCTATTCTATATGGCGTGTTAGTAGGACTCCCGACCAATTAGCAATGTGATGATAATGATATAAATTGAGCTTATAAAACTTTGTTGAATACAACAAATAAAATTAATTAACTTTCAAATATTAGAACTTAGATAATATTTGTCGCAATTAATGGTGTTTATTTTCTGTGTACCGGTATTTCAATTTGTAAATTGAATTATTTTGCCTCCAGTCCATAAAACACTGCAGTGATCACTGTCTTCTTCCTAACTGTAGGTAATTATTGAAGTAGTGAGTATACTGCAGGAAACTGAAGTTTTACAAAATTATTTGTGTAAAATAATGTGCAGAAATTTTCAAAGGTACAAACTCTCTGAAACAATTAAGCAAAAGAAACAAAGCTCAAATGTATTCATGTGTATGTATCATAAGTAACACTGTCATGTGTATGTATCATAATTAACACTGGCATGTGTTTGTATCATAAGTAACACTGGCATGTGTTTGTATCATAAGTAACACTGTCATGTGTATGTATCATAAGTAATACTGTCATGTGTATGTATCATAAGTAACACTGTCAAGTGTTTGTATCATAAGTAACACTGGCATGTGTTTGTATCATAAGTAACACTGGCATGTGTTTGTATCATAAGTAACACTGTCATGTGTATGTATCATAATTAACACTGGCATGTGTTTGTATCATAAGTAACACTGTCATGTGTATGTATCATAAGTAACGCTGTCATGCGTATGTATCATAAGTAACACTGTCATGTGTATGTATCATAATTAACACTGGCATGTGTTTGTATCATAAGTAACACTGGCATGTGTTTGTATCATAAGTAACACTGTCATGTGTATGTATCATAAGTAATACTGTCATGTGTATGTATCATAAGTAACACTGTCGTGGGTATGTATCATAAGTAACACTGTCGTGTGTATGTATCATAAGAAACACTGCCATGTGTATGTATCATAAGTAACACTGTCGTGCGTATGTATCATAAGTAACACTGCCATGTGTATGTATCATAAGTAACATTGTCGTGTGTATGTATCATAAGTAACACTGCCATGTGTATGTATCATAAGTAACACTGTCGTGTATATGTATCATAAGTAACACTGTCATGTGTATGTAACATACGTAACACTGTCATGTGTATGTATCATAAGTAACGCTGTCATGTGTATGTATCATAAGTAACACTGCCATGTGTATGTATCATAAGTAACACTGTCATGTGTTTGTATCATAAGTAACACTGGCATGTGTTTGTATCATAAGTAACACTGTCATGTGTATGTATCATAAGTAACGCTGTCATGCGTATGTATCATAAGTAACACTGTCGTGTGTATGTATCATAAGTAACACTGTCGTGTGGATGTATCATAAGTAACACTGTCATGTGTATGTATCATAAGTAATACTGTCATGTGTATGTATCATAAGTAACACTGTCGTGTGGATGTATCATAAGTAACACTGTCATGTGTATGTAACATACGTAACACTGTCATGTGTATGTATCATAAGTAACACTGTCATGTGTATGTATCATAAGTAACACTGTCTCGGCAGCTCAGATCACAGGTTGTTTTGGATAACTACAGAAATAATTGATCATTTCTATATATGTACAGACTAACATTATTTTGTTTATATCTAAACATGGCAGTAGAATTCTATAGAAAAATACACAGAAAAGTAAGCGACTTTTTCAAATGTTGTTTTCATGTGATAAGAATAGAAATATCAAATATCCTATCACCAATTTCAGAGATGGACAAAGTGAGGTAAAAATCACCAAAACAGACAAATTTTTCAAAAGTAATAAAAATGGCATCACCTGAGTTACCTAATTTAGAGAGTAGACTACTGACACTCACCTTCCATTTAGAAAATCTTTAAAAAAAATAAGTTCTAACAATCACTTAGGAAATACCTATCTCAAATGGTTGTGTTAATTATATATATGTGGGCTTAAAATATGATGCTGGAAAAAATGAGAATATTATATTATCAACTTCTATAATAACAATACAACAACTGTAAACAATTTTACAAGTACAATGTATATATAAAATTTCAAAAATGCATTAAAAGAAGAAAACACATAAACTAAAAAATAACAAAACTTGACAAAATTTTCATTAGTAGAAAAACAATGCAAACAGAGAGCATGGCAGAGTAATCTCCCTTGAGTTGTGGCGGTTGTGGTGTTACTGTGTCTTTGAAAAACTGTATGCAATGGAAATCAAATAAAACAAATATGAAGTTCAATATGCGTTGAAGATATTTCCACAAACTGCAAATAAAAAATGAGATACTCATTCTTGTATTTGTTTGATGAATAAGAAAACTTTGAACCGAGGACCAAGTTATCTCTTGTAGCTTTGTGATCAAAGATCACAGAATCATCCTGGAACAGGAGGGTAAAAGATATCTATAATTAAAATGGTCATCCATACAAACAATTTTTCAAGGCACATAACACAGGATATGTAAAACTAAAAAACAAACAATGCAATACAAATAAACAACCAAACCAAGACACATAACAAGTGACAAAAACAATGTCAACCCATGTATAACCATGCACCATATTACTAGCATTTATTTTTATATTATTATACAGCATATGCAGAAAATATACAATATTAAGTTATGCATTATTATATAATGAGATATAGTATAGATATGGATATGAAGTATAACATGAATTATATTGATATAGTGTACATGGAATGACACATTAACATAATAACTATAAAATACCACTAGTTGTAACTATCAAATACCACTGGTTGTAACTATCAAATACCACTAGTTGTAACTATCAAATACCACTAGTTGTAAATATAAAATACCACTGGTTGATAACTATCAAATACAATTGGTTGATAACTATCAAATACAATTGGTTATACATTTTATCTAAATGGATCTGGAGATGTGGATATCTTATTCAAGAACAGTTATATTGTGAATTGAAAACAGTGATGTTGACTGTAACAGGGTCATGCAGTTAAAGGGAGGTAACTCTTTGGTTTCTTTTATCATTTTATGAGATCACAGAAACTAGCAAAGACAGTTTAAGGTTAAGTAAAACCTGTGTACTTTTACTATCTGGGAGCTGTTATCAGCCTAGGAACGACCGTGGCCTGAACGTTTCAGTGATAAATGGAGATAATGCTTAAATCTTATTTCAAGGTGTTTTTTATGTTCGACTTCCTTTTCAAATCTTTATCTATTGTTGATCAAAAAAAATCCATAAAAAAATATCAGCTCACAAAAGGAAAAGCAATATGATTAATTCTAATTTTGTTTCTTTAGCTAATATTTAGTTATTATGTTAGGTTATTACCCAATTTTTTTCTGCAATGACAAAGCAGCAAAATTATCAACATTTTAAGCTTTGAATTTTACAGCCTTTCCCAGACAGCTTTTATTAGCGAAAATTTCCTGAATACAAAAAATACGTTACACGTAATAAACACAGAAGAGGAAATTATTTACATATAAAAACAATACACCATTGTGAGTACAAAACAGATGGAGTACAGTGAGTATGTGTTATACACATTTTATTTTTATACATAGAGTCCACATCTTTTTAACTCGTACTTACATCAGAATAATTACTCTGGCAATCATCGTTGTCTTCCTCGTAGGAGAAGACAGACATGGGCGGAGATTGCGGTGAAGTTGGAGAGAGACAGATAAAAGATGTGGACTTATATGTTACCTGTGTGGCCATTGGATCAGTTGAATACGAAGACGAAGACAATGAACAGGTAAAAAATAAACAAATCAATCAATAGGTATATATGCCACTTTGTAGAAATAATCTAAAAAAGATATTTTACTGTATAAAAACAATGGAGGTTTTATTCACGAAATATAAAGTTGATGGATTGGATATAATTCTGTTTTTCAGAGTCAAGCTACAAATCTGTAAGAACATTCATAGCATGGTAAGGTTTATGACATTCTGCTGTCAGATAGGTAATGATTAAAATATACATCCTGTTCTTGTTATTTCAATCTTAAATCCTGTATTTTATTTTGTATATATGATACACTTATAGAGTCGCGGAGTACACTTTCAAATCTCACTTCTATTGTACAATGGTATCATGTATAATATGAAGGCATTTTATAAAGACGCAAATCAAAAAATTGTTTATAGAGTTAATCTGATACATGCAGGCATTGAAAAATACTACAAGTTACATACATTAGAATCAGCAAAAATAATGCATATAAATAACATTTCAGCATAACCCAGATCACGTGTCACAGGCTTCTGTTTCAATCTAGAAGATTTGTATTACAGCAGTTCCCACAATGTCCCCAGATTATATCTGTATTCACCCTTTTTTTACAATAAACAATAGTTTTATGATTTAACAATGTGGCATTCAAAACTTAAGGGGTCTCCATAGCATGTCTGGTGATTTAAATGTACTGTCAGTGACAGGAACATCTCCCGTCCCGTCCCGTTCCGTCCCCCCCCNCCCCCCGCCCCCTCTTTCCTCCCCTCACCCAGCCTCCCATTCATATCACTCCTCAATTTATTTTACTATTCCAAACTATTTACATATCAGAAGGAGATAAGTACAAGTTGTATATATTGCCCTGAACAGGTCAGCAGAATCAGTTCTGTTGTCACAGACACAGATACTTACCATTGATACAGGACTATCAACATCCTCTGTTGTATCATTACCCTTGTCATTCTCTTCATCCTCCATGTTTTGAGTCATGTGATCATATTTATCACTTCCCTCCATGTTTTGAGTCATGTGATCATTATTATCAGCATCTTCCATGTTTTCAGTCATGTGATCATATTTATCACTTCCCTCCATGTTTTCAGTCATGTGACTATAATAATCCTCCATATATTTTGAGTTTTGATCCTGCGCTGTGTCATCATTTGAGTCAGTTGTATCTATGAGATTTGATTGAGTATTGAAATCTAAGCTGCCATTATCTATGCAGTCACCTGCCTGTTTTGCACCATCCACTTCCCCTTCTGATTCCTCATAAGGTGACAAGCTCTCAGTAACTTGGACACACTTGAGATCCTCGGAGAATGAACTTTCTAACCGAGCCAATTTCAACAGACAATATATTTTTTTCTAAATCTGAATCAAGTTCTTCCTCGATGACACCTATATTGTGGTGTCCATTTGTTGTCATTTTGCTACAAATGTCTGACATATATTGACAAGTGTACTGTTTGGTTGACACTTCAGCATAACATAATTCCAACCATGTCAGGACTCAGGTCGTAATCCTTACAATAATCGTACCCGTCTAACAGACCTGACTTGGCTTAACGTCCTTGTGCTATGTCAGCCAGGGATTTAAGGCAGTGTTTATGTTTATGTTTTTCACTCTATAAAGTACTGTGTATTGTGGTAGAGGTAGGCAAGACGGCCCTTTAATGCTTCACAATGTTTGATCAATGAACTGTACACGATCTGTCTCCCTGCCGATTTTATCCTCCTTTGTTCTAAATACACAAAACAGTATGAAGTTATGTTAATATCAAATAACCTTTGTAAGGTTTACATCACACTAAAGTTTAATTATTTATGACACAGAAATTCATTTTTCATATAAATCATGTTAGGGATTTTTCCCTTCAGTATCTCAATATTTTTTCATAATTTTTTCATTTTTCAACCCCAACAACCTGAACAAGGAACAGTTTGACTTTTGACCTTATGCTGACCTTGAGGACCAGTTACTCATAGACACAACAATGGCTGTACTCTATCAGACCAGGAACTTCAAACACTAGGACAGCAACTATTAAGTCTTGTTAGCTAGTTAGTTTTCTCAATCTGACAAATCTCATGACACAAGTTAAGTCTGCCACTAAAAAGTCTGATTAGCTTCCAAAAGCTGACTAATCTCACAAAAACTGGGATGTCAGCTACCAACAAGCAGTAGCAGTACAAAGTCTGGTTAGCTTTCTCAAGCTGACTTATCTCATAAAAGCAATATATGTCTATATACTTGGCCCTAGGGAGTAGCAATATAACCTATACCTATACTTAGCCCTAGGGAGATGGTACAAAACAAATTGAGTGATTATGAACAGGTGTGATAGAAGTATTACAGGTGAACATCCATCACAGCCTTTCAGTTATAGACCCATACACATGTATGTACACTACACATACCAGTAGTCTGTTAATGGGTAGAGTCTACCCATTCAAGATATATGGTTTTATCTGACATGTTTAAGATTGACTTTTTTTCAACCCTTTAATAGAAAATTGGTGGGGAAAAAACTTCAACTGCCTCAGATAAATCTGACCGCTGTATCTTTTTTACAAACTTCTTGACATTTTGTTAGACTTAACAAAATCCTACATTCTTATATAATTTTCCAACTGACACTTTCTAAAAGTAGCTATCTCCCCATGATCAAGTCTTCAAAATTAATTTATTGCCTCCCTTGTTAAATTATCATCCTAACCTAACAAAAGGGTAACTAAAAACCTTTACAAATGCACGAGAAACTGTAAAATATACTTAAAAACTTTTCATAAAGATTACAATTTCAAAGAAAAGGAAATGATCTAGTTCAGGATAGGAAATTTGATGACATTAATGATTTCATAGGGAAAAATAGGAAAGATGCTTTTACTTTATATAGTTTTAAGTTCTTTTTGTCTGAGCAATTTCATACTTCAGTCCATGCAGAAACCTATAAAAACCAGTATACAACTATATGTCTGTTCCGTCCTAGTAAGACTGTGTTGTGTTATATAGTTCAGATTATGGCTCTAAATATTTGAAGGGAAAAATCACCAGACACACCACTTAGCAATACTTCAAACTTCAGTGGTGTATGGATTATTCCCTGAAGAAACATCCTCCTTTCACAAATACTTGGGATTAACAAATGGCAGAAGTAAGCAAGAACATTCCTGAAATTCCTTACAGAAACAGAGCTCACATTCAAATCTGAAAACAATTACCTTGTTATCCAACTTTGATACAGTTCCATGTAACTTAGCTGTTAGATCAAACACAGACAGCAAAGTTAACTGCTGACCTTTAACAGTGAAATCACCATAAAAACACATGTAGATCACAGTGAGCAGCATACGATGACATATATAGATATCTTCAAATTCTGCCTGAAAAGTTCCTCAATATCTGCATCCATATATCTATAGTGTCAATAGCTCCAAAGTCTATCTTTCGAAAATGTTTCCTGAATCAATACTAACAATAATAAAGTCCACAACCAATTCTATAAATGTATCTAATGCATATCTAACCAAACACTAACACTTCAAGGTAATTCCTGGTAGAGTATTCTCCCCTGGTTTTTTATACCCCTACACCAGTCCATCAGAGAGGAAAAAGTTCATATATGCTGCTGACAATTCAAGTAGCTGTTCTAGATGGATTGATATGTAGTTAGTGTAACACTAGGGTGTACATCAGTCATCACTGACAAGTCTGCTGAATTGGAGGAGGCATCACATCAATTACCAGGTATTTCACACTACAAATGTGAATAAATATTGTAGAATACATGTAAACCCAATATGTCATGCCTCAACTTTTAGCTAAACTTCATCAACCCAATAAGGCTTCATCAACCCAATAAGGCTGGATATGATACAAGAGGCCCAATGGGCCTGCATCGCTCACCTGGTATTAATCTCACACTTATAATCTTAAAAGTGGACTAAAATACAGCTACAGGCAGAATATCAGTGTGACCTTGAATGACAATCAATGACATTAGGTTGAAAGTGGGTCAAGGTCATTCATTTGAACAAATTTGGTAGCCCTGATTGCTACAGGCCAAATATCAGTAGCCTGGGCCTTTTGGTTATTGAGAAGAAGTTGTTTGAAGATTTTAAGACATTTGACGCCTGTGATCTTGATAGTGGGTCAAGTTGATTCATTTGATTCATTTGAACAAACTTGGTAGACCTTCATCCCAGCATGCTTCTGGCGAAATATCATCACCCTGGGCATTTTGGTTATTCAAAAGAAATTGTTTAAAGGTTTTAAACATATTTGACCCCTATGACCTTGAAAATGGATGAAGGTCATTTATTTGAACAACTTGGTAGCTCTTCATCCAGCATGCTACTGGCCAAATATCATCACCTTAGGCCTCTTGGTTATTCAGAAGAAGTTGTTTAAATAATTTTAAACATATTTGACCCCTGTGACCTTGAATATAAGTCAAGGTCATTTATTTGAACAAACTTGGTAGCCCTTTATCCCAGCATGTTACTGGCCAAATTTAGGCACCCTAGGCCTCTTGGTTATTCAGAAGAAGTCGTTTAAAGGTTTTAAACATATTTGACCCCTGTGACCTTGAATATAAATCAAGGTCATTTATTTAAACAAACTTGGTAGACCTTCATCCCAGCATGTTACTGACCAAATTTAAGCACCCTAGGCCAATTGGTTATTCAGAAGAAGTTGTTTAAATGTTTTAAACATATTTGACCCCTGCGACCTAGAATATATGGATGAAGGTCATTTATTTGAACAAACTTGGTAGCCCTTTATCCCAGCATGTTACAGGCCAAATATCATCACCCTAGGCCTCTTGGTCATTCAGAAGAAGTTGTTTAAAGAATTCAACATATTTGATCCCTGTGACCTTGAAAATGGATGAAGTTCATTTATTTGAACAAACTTGGTAGCCCTTCATCCCAGCATGCTTCTGGCCAAATATCATCACCCTAGGCCTTTTGGTTACTGAGAAGAAGTTAAGTTGTTTAAAGTAAAATGTCGA